CCCCCCCCCCTCCAGCTAGCAATCCAAAACAGTCCAGTGGCACCTTTGAGAACAAATTTTATTCAAGTACAAGCTCTCCCTCCTCTGTGAGGGCAGATCTGTGTGAGAAACACCCCCCCCCATAGCTAACAATCCAAAACAGTCCAGTGGCACCTTCAAGACCAAGGAAAAAAGGAGAAACGACAGCTGAGGGGTGTCATGATCGAGGTTTATAAGATTATGCATGGGATAGGGCAGGTTGAGAAAGAAGTCATTTTCTCCCTTTCCCACAATACAAGAACACGTGGGCACTACATGAAATTGCTGAGCAGTCAGGTTAGAACAGATAAAAGGAAGTAAAGGAAGTACTTCTTCACCCAAAGAGTGATTAACACATGGAATTCACTGCCACAGGAAGTGGTGGCGGCTACAAGCATGGACGGCTTCAAAAGGGAATTAGATAAGCATATGGAGCAGAGGTCCATCAGTGGCTATTAGCCACAAGGTACAGATAGGAACCCTCAGTCTAGGGCAAGTGATGCTCTGTATTCTTGGTGCTTAGGGGGGCAATGGTGGGAGGGCTTCTAGTGTCCTGGCCCCACTGCTGGACCTCCTGATGGCACCTGGTATTTTTGGCCACTGTGTGACAGAGCGTTGGACTAGATGGCTTGATCCAACATTGGCTTCTCTTATGTTCTTATGTAAGGTTTATTCAGGTACAAGCTCTCCCTCCTCTGTGAGGGCAGATCTGTGTGTGTGTCCCCCATAGCTCGCAATCCAAATCAGTCCAGTGGCACCTTTAAGACCAAGTTTTATTCAGGTACAAGCTCTCCCTCCTCTGCGAGGACACGTTCTCCCCCCCCCCCCAATAGTTAGCAATCCAAAACAGTCCAGTGGAGCCTGAGCGGTGGCTGTTGCCTTCGGACACACTTCCGGTGATGTCAGGGGGTGCGGCATATGCAAATAAGTTATGCTAATGAGTTGTGCTAATGAGCTCCTGCACCTCTTTTTCTACGAAATGACCCCTGGCTATAGATTAGAAAAGCAGATTTCCCCATAGCCCAGTCCCTGAAGTAAGGACACGTGCATGTCAGATATGCAATGAGTGTTCTTCCAGCAGTGGGCTCACTATTGAAATGGTGTTATATCTGTAAATACATGAAAGCCCTTCCCATGATGACATTCTATGCAGATACCCCTACAAAGTGTGAAAGCCGGTCATCTGAACACCCCCTACAACAACACGTACTTGATGTGTCAGCGACTACGGCACAGAAGAGGCCTGCAACATCGATCCCCGAAGGGACTTACCAGGGCTTCATTAGCCATTGTTGCCTCCTCTTTTAATTGCAACAGCCTCCTCTCCAACTCATCCCGTGTTCGCTCAGCCTCTTCTCTCATCTGTTTCTCTCGGGCTAAACGCTGGCGCTCCATCTAGGGGAAGAGAGAACAATTAAGAAGAGAAGTCACAGCGATTAAGAGCAACTGATGTGCCCAGATTTCTGCTTTCTGCATATAAATAAATCCAATTTCTAGAGCTATGGATGCAAGAACATTCATATGTTTATGTGGCACAATCGATACTGCTCCCATGAAGCAGATTAACAAGGACTTGTGTATTTTTGCGAAAAGAGGAGTAATCACCCTACTCTTTACTATAAAAGGAAGGTGATGGCTGCCAGTAGCAGCCTAGGGATAGTTCACTATGAAGATGTCAGGGGAACCCCAAATCTTGGGAACCCTTATATTTCTGAATATGCACTCAACTGACCTCACATTTCAACTCTATTCTACTGCTTTCTGCTGACAACACTTGAGGCAGATTCCAAGAATTAAAAAAACAAAAAAGTTCCAAAGTTATAAACAGTAAAAACAGAATGAATAAGCTTAGCAACAATCTCTTAGTTAGAAAACAGCCGGTGAAAACAAATAATATTCCTTAAGACTGCCAGAGCAAATAGTCAACAGGTAATGCAAGTCAGAAGAAAAACAGGAAAACTGACTGAAATCCTGAATAAACAAGAAAGGCCACAAGGAGCTCCAAAGATCAGGAACAACGCCCTGACTTGGACAGCCCAGGCAAGCCCTTTCTTGTCAGATCTCAGAAGCTAAGCAGGACCGACCCTGGCAAGTACTTGGATAGGAGACCTCCAAGGAATACCAGGGCTGGGACACAAAGGCAGGCAATAGGAAGCCACCTCTCTGAAATGTCAAAGCCCTACTAGGGGTTGCCAGAAGTCAATCTTGACTTCCAGGTACATGTGCGCACACGCACACACAAATACCCACCCAAAAAAAAAAGACAAAGATCAGGAACAAAGATCAGGAACAACTACAGAGAAGGCCCCATCCCGAATGACAACCCAAGTCAGTACTAAGCAGGGCCTCTGCAGTAGATCTTAACAGATGGGTAAGCTCTGTAAGAGGATGACGGAAGACAGGAAGGCCTGGCGTGATCTGGTCCATGGGGTCGCGAAGAGTTGGACTCGACTGTGCGACTGAACAACAACAACAAGCTCTTATGTTATCTTTACAAGAGTTCTGGCAATTTTTCTCTCCACAGACAATAGACATTCAACCTCTGCTAGCTGTCTCTGCAGAGAAATGGGTTTTTACTACAATGCATAACAGACATTAGCTAACTCAGCATATTATATGTGGAATTCAGAAGGGCAACAAGCAGCTGCCTAAGGGCAGAACTACACGCTATGTGAGAGATCTGTGACCAGATCACCCAATGTATTTTTTTTTAAATGGTAAATAGCAGCCTGGGAGGGGGAATAACAATCTTCATCCAAATGATTTCCTCAGTAGAAATCATCCCCTCCTATACACAGGAGCTACTATTACCTAAGGTACTGAAAAAAGACAGGCACAAAGGGGATGCTTGTGTTTCCCCCCTACCAGGTCTAACTGCAGGGAGGGGCAAATTTCTATGAGGAAAATGGTAGAGTGAAAGAGTGTAACTCCCCCTCACCCATGCCACAGGCCAATATAAAATATAAATATTCTACCCTGGGTGTTTTTTAACATTAAAAATATACTTTGGGAAGTGATTGTGGATCACTGAAGTAGCATGTACTTGTACTTCGTGCTTGGGGAGGGGGGCAACAGTGGGAGGGCTTCTAGTGTCCTGGCCTCACTGCTGGACCTCCTGATGGCACCTGGTATTTTTGGCCACTGTGTGACAGAGTGTTGGACTGGATGGGCCATTCGCCTGATCCAGCATTGGCTTCTCTTACGTTCTTATGTAGTTCAACTGTTCAGAGCAGCAGTTTACTGTCCAAAGAACTGTGCAACTAGTTCCACATGCCCAAGGGGGCTTTGGGCTTGTGCTTCACAGGCAGCACTTACCACACACCAGACAGACAGCCTCTCTTGAAGATGAGGGGACTTTACAAAGCAGTTTGTAATACAGTATGGCAGGGAGAGTGAGCATGAAGAAGGTAAAGAACCTATTGGGCATGCCTAAACCTTTGGACATAAGTAGCTCTTTGGCCAGTTCCCATACATTCTCAAGTTTCTCTCAGGCATAAGGGCTGGAATCTTCTTTTTTGCACATCAGAGTTGAGAACTGCAGGACAACACATTCTGGACTCGTACAGTGGACCAACACCAGGAGAAGACAAGTTCACAAGAGGAGGAGACACTAAGGAGGAATGGTGAAGAGTCTTATTGGGTATGTACTGTAGCCATTCCTTACCTGCAGCAGCTGTTGACATCTGAGACATGCTAAACATTATGGGGGAGGCAACAAGCATCCTTCTGATATTCCTATTGCCCTTGAATTTGTTTCACAAGGCTTTGATTCTGGTTGTCACTACTCAGACAGGCCTCCCTCTCCCTAAAAGCATCTGCCAAGTTCAAAGCAATTATTCATTCCTCACTGACCGCCCCCCCCCCATCTAAAGCTGACATGCCCCAAAGGGTAGGAAAAAAATCCTTTCGGCTAGTCAAAATAATGCCTTGACTGACCTAGTGACAAGACTGAGACAAGCATTTCCCTCCACACGCACACACTGCTCAACATGCTGCCCTTACATTCCCTTCAGACAGATCTGGTTTGTGCAGCTCAAGTCGAACTAGACGCAAACCTTCTCCTCAGCAAACCCAGAGAGACCATCACTGCACTGGCTTCCCCAGGAACTGAACTGTAAGTCCAGAGTAACATCTCTGATACAGGCAAATCTAAGCACGGCCCTTTAACCTAGTGCTCCGATGAGCTTCGCATCTCCTGGCACGGTAACAGACTGAGCTAGTGCTGCTATATAGCAGATTACCAAGAAGTGGCAATCTATATTCTGAACAGCGCCATACAGATTAGCTGTGTGGGTTTCAGCAAGTAGAAAAGGTCTACAAGTAGAAAACAATGATTCATACAATCCAATTTGCTGATATGTGCTCATTGGCTCCACGCTGCTGCCTGCGATGTGCTGTGTCTGCTGGCTGGGCTGACCTACAGAGAATAAAGGAGGCCAGCCCCCAAATTAGCATGCAGGCAGCATGCAACGGAATGTCGGCATGCATTCCATCACCATCTAATTAGGACATGCAAGCGCACAGTTCTCCCTCCCAGGCGAGTCTTAACTGCAACCAAACTCCCCAAGACACAGTGGACTTGCTAATGCCAAAGTCCATATACTGGAGGCACACATATATTTAAAGACAGGGAATGGGCACACATGCACTTTATACCTACATACTCTCTCCATTTGCATTCTTCGAAGACATAAGTCAAGAAAGGAAAGAAGAGGTGTTCCCTGACTAGTAAGGACCTTCAATATGGAAACCTCTCAAAGAGCCCCATATGTTCCCCCAAGGGCACTACGGTCAGGGGGCCAATATCTTTTGACTACCCCAGGCCTCAGGGATGTCAAATTAGCCGAGAATAGGGCCAGGGCCTTTTCGGTGGTGGCTCCTACCTGGTGGAATGAGCTCCCGGACCAGGCCCTGCGAGATCTTGTGCAGTTCCGCAGGGCCTGCAAGACGGAGCTCTTCCGCCAGGCTTTCGAGTAGAGGCCGCCGCCGCTACTGTTCCACCAATGCACCGCCGCTGAAAATTGGCAGAGATACCATAAGGGTGCAAGAGGGCTCTGGGAAGAAGACTGGTTATCTGCCGTTTTTGGAACTTACGTCGTTGGTCCGGATCCACCCTATCGGAACCCATCTTGGAACTGGGAACATCAGAGCACCAGCACTTTGTTGTATTATTGTTATGTTTTTATTCTGTTTTTAATTGTTTTAAATATGGCTTTTGCCCCAACTGTTAGCCTGAGCCTTAGGGGAAGGCGGGATATAAATCGAATTATAAATAAAATTTAAAAATAAATAAAACATTTTGTAGGTAAAACCAACTACCAGAAAGGATTTTCAAGGGCCCAAAGAAAGTTAGGCCTTTGCTTTAATATACATGTTAGGCATCTCTTTGCTTGTGTGGTTGCTAGCTACACAATACTGCCCTTGAACACTGCAACAGCAAAATGAAATTTGGTTTGTGTGTATTAGACACAACTCTGTTTCAAATGTGAAAGCCATCTTAAAACCTGTGCACCTGTTTGAAGAGGCTTAGAAAAACACAAATCACAATGGAAGAAAGCATCTTTCTTGAGCACTGAGATAGCGCAATAATACTTGACGTGTGCATTTATGACAGTTCTTTGTTTAAAGTTTAAGTATCCACTTGGCACCTGTACCCATTTTATTTTTACATGTGGGGAGGAAAGACACAAAACAGATGGTAATGCGTATCTGAAGTGAGGCATCACAAACACTGCAATTTGCCACTGTTAAATCTAAAGATCTTACAGTAAGTGGATGAAATGCAATTTGTCAAGTACAAAACCAATCCAGGAGAACGATTATCACCTATGCAATAATTGTGGAGGTGGTGGTGGTGGTGGAAAAAACACAAGCTACGTTCTAACTCTCAAAAGGATCCAGGCCTAAACAGATGCTGGTTGGTGCCAAGACATAGCCAAATATCACTCCTGTTTTGGGGGAAGGCAATGAAAATCTGTACTTGATCTATCATGCTGTGGAACAGCAGTTCTGAATAATTCACATGGCTCTTAGAGTGAATGTTCAAAATTTGGTCAGCTCTGACTTTCACACATGAACACCGACAATCCCAAATGGATTTTCTTTATGTCTGAAAACCTGCTACATCTTAACAGCAAACTGACTGATCCCTGTGTGGATAATGAAAGCCACACAATGGGACCACCCACAAACAAGACAGAAGTTTCCACACAGTTGGGAGACACACAGCCGGGAGACTACCCAAGAATGCAGGAAAATATGACCTTGCATATTAACCAAAACAGGAGAAAAACCCAAAAATCCAGTCTGATGCGGACTGATTATGTTCCAGGAGGCACAGAATAGCGAAAGACTATTAAAGAGCATTGAAAGGATGGGGGGGGGGGATTGGCTTCCTTAAACCCCTCAAAACATTCAGGAGGGGGAGTTTTTGAGAAGTAGGGTGTGGTTTCCATGTCACTCCCCCACAAACCACAATTCCTAATGAATCCCCAACAGTAAATACATATTTTTCCATGACCATACATAAGTGAATGCTAACAATCACATTTAGGCAACTAGCAACACTTACCTGTGTATTTCTGAGTTTATGCACATTCAGAAAATTTAACTGAGAGGGTCAATGTCAACATTACCCAAAACTTCAGACATTAATTGTAACATGTACTTGGCAGCAGATCCCTCCTGGGGTCTTCCCTTACCCTGGGACAACACCTTCAAAAGCTCTCTTACCTGTTTCCTGGCCTTCTCCTCCCTGGCTTGTGCCTTCATCTGCTGGACTTCAAGGGAGTCTGCTTTCCGCCTCCTCATGAACAGGTCATGGTTCCCAATGCACAGCTGAAGGATCTGTTCCACCCAGCAAGGAGATAAAACGGTATACTCGTTAACACTGCCCAGCATCTCAATACCACCTTTGTTCCACTTGCATCACTGAACTGCATTGGTAACTCTCCACAAGAAGAAATCCCATCCAGTTCTCAGCAGAACACCCAGCCATCTCATGAGTGCCCTCTGCACAACTAGGGCAATCCTTGTGGGTGGCTATTCTACATGTTGCGGCTGCCATACGGAATAACTGATGGGGAGTTGGTTTCAGGCAGCAACTGCATGGCAACTGTAATGTGTACACCAGTTTTACATTCCCACTGAGACTGCATAATGGCTTGTTCCTGCTGTTCTCACAGTGTTTGCACTCACTCATGTGTATTTTCACCCTGACTTTAAAAAAAAACAAACCCAGAACAGCTGGGGCAAGTGTCTGCTCAACTCTTTAATCTCTGGCCACCCCTCCCACCCACCCCCCAGCACATATGCAGATTCAGCTGGTTTCATCTCACAGAAGAAAAGTTGCTGGTTTCTGTATAATTTCCTTTGCAAATCAAAACATCCTGTGATAGACAGGAGTTGTGATGTTGACCAGAAACAGCAAAAAACAACAACCCAGCCCTTTAACAGCCTTCCATTCAAAACTACCATCATCACAGATGCATTTGGCAAAATAAAAAGATAACAAATAAGAGGGAGGGCATAACCAGGCATCAAAATTAGCTAGGGTTTTATTCAGGTGCCTTCAGAGAATTTATGACCTAATTTCTTGCAGGGTTTTCCAGATAGATAAATGGATTCCCCACCTCCATTCTGAGGGTTGTCTGTTCTCTGGTTATTCCTTACGTTTCTACTACAATAACCTTCCACTGAGTGCTGTCACTTTTTCCATTTAGTATTCTCTAGTACAACACAGTCCTCACCTCCTTAGTGTCTATGAAGGCCAAAGAGATTGGGAGGGAAACTGGAGGGAGAAGTCATCCATAGGTCAGCACCTATGACCCTGCAATTGTGAGAGAAATACACCCAAAGCCTTCGAAAGGTCCCCCACTGTATGCTAAATGAGGACTCCAAGGAGGGGGTAGTCCACAGATATGAAATTCTCTATACAAGGATCATAAGAAACCCTACAGTGCCGAACTGAGGGTCCCAAGCTGGATTCTCTAATATGATATATAAAAATTATACCATATGTTAGAAAATCCATTCCTCGTTTCTTGGTCAGGTGTCCTTTAATAGGTAAAACAGATTCAGTTACCCTGGGATTAATGGACACTATGAACAGTTACAGCTGTGGTGCAGGACTGCTCTCCAACTACACGCTCTCCAAGCACTTAGGCTATTGCCTTTAGGATTCAAGGTTTGTGGATCGGCAGACAAACTAGTGTTTTCCGATAAGAAAATGTTAAGTGGGACAGCTCTGGAAACCTCAAGACAATATGGCTCACTAGACCAGAGCTCTGACTATTAGGCTCTAAGCCAGCATAGCCAGAGTTCAAAGAAAGAAAAATAGGGGGCCCTGGAGTAGATAGTTTACCAGAGAGCACACGTCGTTCCCTCAATGCTCCAAGAGACTGATTTCTGAGTGGGACCTGCCAACCAGTCAAACAAACAAACCCACTCTGCTGCTTCAGCTGTGCCTTGCTCCCTGTCAAGCAGGCCCTTCATGCAAGACAAGAAGTTCCTCATAAACATCTAGAGAACTGCTGTCCTGTCCACCTTCCAATCCCTCAGGGAAATACCCCTTTCAAGGGAGGCATGCAACCGTGGTTGAGAGGTGGGTTTCAGATGAGGCAACAGCTAGCGTTTTTATGGCCAATTTACAGTATGGCCCCAGGAGATTATTAGCATAATTATTTTTATAGAACAACGGTGTCCCACTTTAGGGCACTTTAGAAAATGACAAACAAAAAAACAGGTACCTCAGCCAGAGGAGCTTGCAGTTCAAGTTTAGAAAAGAGGAGGAAAACAGCATATGAAACAGAGGGGGAAAGTGAGGATAAAACCCTGTCAGGGCTCAGAGAGGAACGGAAGAGCCAAAGATGGCAAATATGAGCAAATGCAACTACATGTGGTTAGAACACAAGCAAAGGGGATGCTGGGAATGCTGTGAACACACCTCCCAGCACTTTTCCCTCTCTAAAAATAAGCCGTGTGAGGATCCAATCTGGATCGGGGCTGTGGCACAGGGGAGGGAGGGAGGTTCTGATCTGGAATGGTCCCAAGGAGTTGCTGCTTGTGGCCACGACTGCTGCCATTGTGCAGCAGCTGTGTCTTAGTATGTACTTACCAGCTTATTCACACGCAGCTTTGAGGAGTTGAATTTGAACACATCGATTTTTTTATCCAATGGCTTGATCGTAAACTGTAAGCAAAATTGGTCAGACTCGTTAACTTGAAAAGGGGAGGGGAGGGGGAAATAAAAGGAAGGCAGTGCAGCATGAACTTTAAACCAGGTTGGCAGAGAGTTAGAGGAACAGGCTGAAGGCTCGTTTCCTTGCCAGATGCCAAAGCAGAATCAATCAAGGGACAACTGGTCCCTTGGGATGGGAAAGCTCTGTGCCTCAGAGGCGCTTCAAATACTTTCACAGCTCACAAACTAGATCTCACATTAAAGCCGATCTGTGGGGCCAGTAAGCACAAGAGGAAGATCATTACAGGAGGGCAGGAGCAAACGCCTGGAAGGAAAAGGGCAGCCACTGCAGTTGCAGCGATTCTGACGGATCCCAACCAGCACCTTCATGCCTCCATCTTCCCCTCCCCCAGGAATACACAGAGACAGTTACAAATGGTAACTTGTTGCCCAAAGACATCACTGAGTATAAGCTTTATTCATCAATGACAGAGGACAGGGCTGGCACAGTTCGTTTTTAGCAAAAGAAATTTGGTTGGGTTTCTCAAGTGAGCTGTGGCAGCCTTCTAGCAAGGAGTGTGACTCCCTGCCTCGGATTCAGCTCCTGCAAAGATTCCTGACCTTGCTGCCGGCAGTGGGGCACGGGAGGGCTTCCCCAGTTCCAGGCAAAAAGCTGATCATTGCCACAGTAGATTAAACACCTCTGATGTGTCAGCATAGCTGTCCTGCGCCACTATTAAGCCTGTTTACTATCATGTCAGATCTTACTGGTGGCCATATCATTACAAGCATTATTGACAGGATAAAAGATGACAGATACTTCCCTCAAGGGGCAGGTCTATTACTGTCTATTACATTCAAAGCCTAGCGGATGAGGTTTCAGGCCTTCAATTCCTGGAGGAATGCAGTCAGGAAACTCACACTGAGAAAACCTGCACACAGGCAGGAGAAAAGCCTCCAAAGAATTTTTTTTTTAAGTGGTGTAAGAAGATTATTTCTCAGAGACGATTTCTTTAAAAGGGGACCATTATGAGCTAATTGCTTATGGCTTGAGCAATAAAAGTAACTGACGTGGAACATTTTAAGCTTTTTGCCCTTGCTAAATAATGCTTAAAGATGACCAATCCTTTTCCCCGTTCTCACCTTCTTAAAAAAAACAAAAAAAACAAAAAAACTCATAGCTAATTTCTTCTAGGTGAGCATTTAGCTGAACATCTCAGCCCTAGAGTGAGAAAACTGTAGTGGTTTGTACAGCACATTAGAAAGATATAAAATCTCCATTCATTTTAAAACTGTGCTTGTGCCTCTGTTCTTTAAGAGCTGCAGAGCTCAGGAAGTTTAGAAATTCTCTGCAGTGCTTCTAAATGGATAAGATCCAAAGGCTCTGCCCCTTAAATGGCAGTTAAAAGACAGAATGCAACCACAGTAGGGCGGGCATCTGAAAAAGTTGAGCTATAACCCTTACTTGGGCTGAGTACACCAGGGCTAGTTTCATTTTTAAATACTGCAAACCAAAAGGCTCTGTTAAAATACATGCATATACGAACACTCTGCAGAACAAAAAAAAATCAAATTGAGAGCTTCTACTGTAGCCTTTACATGTCTTAAAGTTAAGAGCTCTTCTCTAAATATCGAATGGAGCCTTGACGAGACTGAGTTTGGCCAAGCAAGAGATAAAGGATACCTGAATCCACTGTTGTTTAATTCGGGGGGGGGGGGACAGGCAAGAGCAGTGAAATATGCCTACCTCCTTATCACTGTAAGAGACATTCCGGATCTCATTCCATGGAAAGGAGATTTTGGGGGTCAACTTGTTTTCTGGGTCGTATATGTGCAGACCCAAGGCATCAACTCCCAGTAGTAGCTCAGTTCCTTTCTTATTCTAAAATGAAAAGGAAAACAAACACACAAACATATGCAAGATTTCAATTTGGGGCTTCACAGCAGTTCTGATACATAGAGATAATCCACATAGCTCTATTCAACCTTGTTCGGGGGGGGGGGGACTTCAGGCCTCCCAAAGCAGAGTGAGCTGCAGTGGCAGTGACTCATATATCCCTTTGGGAAAACTCTCAATGGCCCTTTCCTGGTTGCAGGTGAAACTAGAACAGGAAATGTGCCAGCACTACAGATATTCTGCACAAAACTCTCCCTCTGCAACACTGAAGCTTCTCCCGGCAACAATCTGCAGAGCTGAAGACCAGCTCAACTGCCTCAGTTTCTTTATGGGCATGCTTCAAGAGTACCTCACAAACCTAACAAACCTAGGGTCTTACCCTAATGGCAAAGTAATTCACACCGTACATCTCTAGATCCTGAGCAATCTTCAGATATTCCATTTCAGCTTCGTCCCTGCAATACAGGCAGAGGACAAAAAGTTCACGTCAGTAAAAAAGTTCAGCAAAATCGGAAAGCTCGTGATCTGTGCACGAGGGAGCAAGATGGGTGGTTGGCTTCACCAGCACATCATGGATCATAGCCAGGGCTGTCTCTGTTTCAGGGCATCCAGTATTTGTTTACAAGTAAGATCAATAAAAATCTACAGCAAATTCCAGCCTGCAAGTCTTCTGCATTTTAATGTCTATTAAAATGGATACACAACAAGAGAGAGATGACAAAAATGTTGACCTTTCCCTATCGAGATCCAGAGTAATCTTCTACTCCTAAACACCTTATGTTTAAGTTCTGCAGCGGATACAAAGACAAAGAAAATTTTTAGTCTCATTGTTAGAAGCCTACTTATTTATTTAGATATTTATACCCCACTTTCCTCAGCAATGGGGACCTGAAACAGCTTACAATACTGTTCACCCTTCCTCCATTTTATCCTCACAATAACCACCCTATGAAGTAGGTTAAGCTGAGAAAGCCCAGTCCAAGGTCATCCAGTGAGTTTTCATGGCAAGGTGGGGATTTGGACCTGGGACTCCCAAATCCCCACATGAAATTCTAACCACTACACACCAGGGGGTCAGTGTGGTGTAGCGGTCAGAGTGTCAGACTAGGAACTGGGAGACCCAGGTTCAAATCCCCACTCCACCATGGAGGCTCACTGGTTGACTTTGGGATCATCACAGACTTTCAGCCTGACCTACCTAACAGGGCTGTTGTAAGGAACGGAGAACAATGTAAGTTTGCTTTGGGTCCCCAACAGGGAGAGTTGCAAGATATAAATGAAGTATATGGCAAATAACTACACAATATCGACTCTCCAGTCGAGGAACAGGGAAGTGAGGGATATCTACAACTTATCAGAATCCTGAGGACAGTTGTTTTCAAGCTCCTAGTACTCAGCAGCAGCATCGATATTAAAATCTAACTAAAATATCAGAAACAAGATGGCAAACAGATTGTCATTTTAAGCCTGCTGCATGAGTCTAAGGATTTTGATAATAATTTTTTTTCTTAGCCAACTACAGAGCTCTTCTAGAAAGACTCTACAACAGTCTAGAAACAATAATTCAAAACCACCTACAGGAACAAAACTGCAGAGTCAAGGGTCAGACAGCACTGCTGAGGAAGTGCCGCGTGTTCACCAAACACCCTGGGCAGAGTTCAGAAGACAGAAGATTTGCTCTTCCCATATATTTATAGAGGCCAGGCTTAGTCGGGCACTCTAGCAAAGTAGAAAGATTCATGTGACTATTTTTCTATTCCATCGTACAGTCGATTTTACTTGTTTTCCTACCACCTTTAAGAGAACAAACAGCCATAAAAGTATTTCAGCTGTTTCTCACCTCAAAATGACATTTCTCTATAAAAACAATTGCATGAATGGGCTCCACAGAGAGCAGTTTTCTACCTTTTGGGGAACCCAGTGAGAAGAGGTCCCAGTATATCTGAAATGGACATAACTGTACTTGAATTGACAATGTCACTTTCAAATACACACACATGCTGGATCAGCCTTCCCAAAGGTATGATCTCAAACGGCTGTGATCATATGGGCCTTTTCTACAAAACTATTGTACCCCTTCCTGGAAGGGTGACAGTCAGATGGGAAAGACCCACACCATCATCCCCACCAGATATGCAGTTGCAGTGTCCACATACAATCTCATCTGGCATAGGTGAGAAGCCCCACTTGATAGAGATTGTTAGAACCTACAGAGGTTGGCAGCATACTTTCAGGGTCATTTCCCCTGATCATTATGTGCCCCAAACAGCTCTCTTAGCCGCTATACCACCAGGAGCTATATTCCTCCTGAAGGTGTCTTTCTTGTATTGTTTTAACCTATTGTAAGCCAATCTGGAAATAATAAGAACCAGGATGATGTAGTGGCAAGAAGGAGGAGGAGGAGGAGGAGATTGGATTCATACCCTGCCCTTCACTACCCAAAGATGTCTCAGCGTGGCTTACAAACTCCTTTCCTGTCCCCTCCTCACAACAGACACCCTGTGAGGTAGGTGGGGCTGAGAGAGCTCTGACAGAAACTGCTCTTTTTTCAGGAACAGCTCTTATCTCTTATAAGAACTATGGCTTGCCCAAGGTCATCCAGCCAGGTGCAAGTGGAGGAGTGGGGAATCAAACCTGGTTCTCCCAGATTAGAGTCCGCGCACTCAACCACTACACCAAACTGGCTCTTGAGTGCTGGATGAAAACTGGGGAGGCTCTAGTTCAAATCTACACTCAGCCACAAAGCTGACTAGGTGCCCACGAGTCAGTTGCTTGAAGTTACTGCAGGCAGCCACATGAAATCATGTCTACAAATAATTTAAAGTGAGTTCTACAAGTCATTTAAAGCCACTCTACGGAGATGCATTAATCCCCTCCCAAAGGGCTGTGTTCCTTGGAGACTCACCTGGCTCTGCCTCGATGTTGGCCATACCAGGATGTTATTCGTTCCTCCCACATTTCTGGGGTCATCTGGTACAGGTTTATAACCTGGGAATGGGACACAATGGAAGCTTAGCTTAGCTCAGTTTGGTCTAACTATTGGTTTTGCCTCAATGGGCAATGGTTTACTCAATGGGCAGAGTTTGAAAAAGGTTCCAACCCCACCACAAGCAGGAGACTAACAGCCCAATCCTATGTATGTTTTCTCAGAAGGAAGTCCCACTGCATTCACTGAGCTTATTTTTCGGTGAGCATATGCAGGATGGCAGACCAAGTTGCCTTTCAGAAGTTGCAAAGTCTTTCAGCCACAGCTGCACATCTTCCGAAGGCAGATTTATTTATTTATTTTGGGATTTATATCCCGCCCTACCCAAGCGGCCCAGGGCGGCAAACAAGCGGCAGTGCCGGAAATAAAACATAAAATACATTAAAACATCAATAAATACAGGCTAAAATGGTGCTCCACAGTTCATTGTAAAATTTCAAGATGGTCGATATCCCCCACTGGCGGCCGATGATGTAAAAGCGGGAGCGCCAGAGTGATGTTCCTCTTCTGGGCGACGTCTACCCCCGCCCGGAACCAGGGTAGATGGTAAATCAAGCCACGGTGGTGATATAGTGGCGGCGACGGCGGCTCCTACTCAGAGGCCTGGCGGAAGAGCTCCGCCTTGCAGGCCCTGCGGAACTGTACAAGGTCCCACAGGGCCCGGATCTCCGCCGGGAGCTCATTCCACCAGGTAGGAGCCGCTACCAAAAATGCCCTGGCCTTGGTTAGGGCAAGCTTAATGTCCCGGGGGCCTGGGACCTCGAGGAGGCCGAGGCTCCCCGATCGCAGCGCTCTTGGGGGAACATACGGGAAGATAACAAAAATAGTAAGACGCTTGTGTGGACATTGGCATACAGCGTTTTTACATAGTTTCCCCAACAAACATATTCACTGATTGCATCACAAAAACAATGTAATGTTATGTAATCAAATTACAGATAGCTACACTCTGTCCAGACAGACAAGACCTTGTGTTCTTTAAATACATATTCATAAGCAATTAAAATATGCTACAAAATGAGTTAAGCGGAAAGATTGTTACAGTTCTCCCAGAACTCTCTCAGCCCCACCTACGTCACAAGGTGCCTGTTCTGGGGAGAGGAAGAGAATGTGATTGTAAGTCACTTTGAAACTCCTTAAGGTAGAGGAAAGCAGGGTATAAAGCACCTACTATTCCTCTTCTATCCCTATTTCTCACTGTGGTCAAGTCACCAAACCCTCATGAAGCCGCACAACAATGACAAGAGTGGCTGAATTTGGACTTATGCAAAAATGCAGTGGAAAGACAGATGACACCAACTGCGGACCAGAACAAAGCCCAACAAAATAATTAGATTGACAAAACTGAAGACTCACCTAGAAAGCACATTTAGGAGACAAGCAGTTCAAATTTTACAGTATTATTTACTAGAGTTGCCAACTCCAAGTTGGGAAATTCCTGAAGATTTTGGGGGTGGAGCTTGGGGAAAGATAGGTTTGATGAAGGAGCGTCAATTTGCTATGGAGAGCTCAGCAGAGTATAATGCCACAGATTTTACCCTTCAAATCAGACATTTTCTCCAGGGGAATTGATCTCCATTGTTTGGAGATCAGTTGTAATTCTGCGAGATCTCCATGCCCCACCTGGAGATTGGGAGATCAGCTATGATTCTGCGAGATCTCCAGGCCTCACCTTGAAGTTGCAAACCAAAGAGAGAGATCACGGGATAGAAGTTGAGAAGAAGCGAACAACCATGATGTATTATGCCAAAAAAGTCTCCAAAGACTAGAAATTTCTTATTCCAATATTCAGTTTACTGGAAGCAATTCAGATGCCATCAACACCAACAAACCATGCATATTATATCTCGTTTCGTATATCTTTATCAAAGTGAGTAGTGTTGAAATAACTATATAATATTAATCCATTTGGCAAACATGCTAATAATATCCCATAGTGACACCAACGAGATATAATATGCATGGTTCGTTAGTGTTGATGGCGTTTGAATTGCTTCCAGTAAACTGAATATTGGAATAAGAAATTTCTAGTCTTTGGAGACTTTTTTGGCATAATACATCACGGTTGTTTGCTTCTTCTCAACTCACCTGGAAGTTGGCAATCCTATTACTTAGTCATCCTACAGGCAATTCTGTGTCCAACAAGCTCCAGAAATAAAACCTGTTGATGCATTCAGCTGAATGAAATAGATTCTTACCCCCTTGGGAAGCAGCTCCTCTTGGGCCAGGAAGCCCCGCTTGTGAACGGTGGGATCGTAATCTCCATACTGCAGAGACACAAAAATACTTTAGAGTTGGAACAAGTCTAACAATAAGTTGCACCAGTTCACAGATCATGGATGAGGCTTTCCTACAGAGGTACAGGATGTTTCCAGAGGAGGCGCAAGCTCCTTGCTGACCCCTTTCATAGTACGTGTCTTAAAGGGCCAGAAGTAACTTTTCTCTCCCCATTCAGGACAACACAGAGTATTCCAGCTCTTGTCTTGTACTATGGCAGGGTTAATACAACAACCTTTAATTTTTCTTATCCTTTTTTTTTTACTTTCTTCACCCCAAATCTTAAAGCCAGGGCTTGCATGTCCCTAAACAGTATGGATTTCTGTACCAAGGCAATTAAAATTCTGCAGTAAGATGCATTCTGCAACCTATTAAAATTACATACATTAAGCTGCATATGATTTCTTCTGCTTCTGGTAATCATAGGGGGAGACGTGGCCAGGCACTGAAATCCTGACACCCTATGTCCTAGCAATCATTCTGAGCCCTCACTGTGACACTTGAGATTTCATCATCTATTGACTTTGATGCTTATTTAAAAAAAAAGCTCAGGCATTTAATATCCAGACATTCATCATATGATGCAACTGAGGAAATGCTCTATCAGCTACTGGTTTTTGAAAACAGAATCTTCAGAAACAGCTACAGGATTATAAAGATCTAGCCAAAAAAAGATGACACTGGTGACTGAATTTGAACTTGTACAAATGTGTAGGGGAAGGGCCAGAAGGCATCAGCTAGGGTTCTGGACAAGGGTCTGATTGGTGTGCAAATGACAACTCACCCCTCCCACCAAACAGAGCTTCTATTTGCCCTGTTCAGCTTGAATAGAGAGAACCCCATGGCCCACAGCTGGGACTCAGCCTAGTACGCCACTTTGAACAGTGGGTGATCAACCCTCCAAGCCCTCTTGAAGTATGGAAGAGAATAAAGATGCACAGCATCAGCTCTTGCGACTGGCAAGCAGCACAGCCTCTCGATTAGCCATTAGCATAACTACTGGGAACTTGGATTTCTTCCTTTGCCTGGATAACAGAACAGTGCCCTCTCTGCTACTGAACTTCAGGTCTCAGATTCCAACTAAAAGGCCCACGTGCTAGAGACCATTAAGTACAGTTGCTCACCATCCTGGCTTGCCAGTGAGCTGCCAAAACCACCAGGGTACTTCATGTGGCACAAACACTTGACTGTAAAGAACTGGCCTCCAAGTAATATTTTATGCAGCTGGCAACCATTCCAGTCCCGCTCATCGGCATCCCCGTTAAAGCATTTGACCATCAACTTCCCTTGCAAGTAAGATTTAGATGGGCAGTCAGAGATACTCCAGACAGCAATCTGTCCTGCTGCCAAAAGCTCTTTTACCTAAATTGGTCCACTAAATACCACTGTTATCAGGCAAGGGCACCAAATCATTATTCACGTTAGTGCATTTGATCCATCATTTTGCGTCGATACCCTTCAAATAACAAGAAACCCAACAAAACAATCACTTTTGAAATTAAGGATTCAGGCTGGCTGCTCCTGTAACATGTGCAGAAAAGGCACAGTACAAAGGGGCATGGAGCGGCCACCTTGGAGCGGGTGACACAAGACTGCATGATTTACAAGCGATATATGCGGGAAATATTTTGGCTTGGACTTGCAACGTGCTGACATTGCCCAGGTAGAAAGCCTGGACACGGCTTCCTTTCATCATTAATCCCAGCATGCACAACATCCTCCTTCTCTGTGTCCTCAGTGAGGACTCAGCTCAGATCGGGAGGAAGTCTGGGATTGTTCAGCAAGACAAACGATGAAAAAGAGTGCAGGCAGGAAGTCAGGAATCACTCAATCAGCCTCTATTTAAAGTTGGAGTAAAAATGCCAGGGCTCAGCATCCATGACTTGCATGCATATCCTCTAGGCAGTAAAGCCATTCCCATGCCTCATATGAGACAAGATGGGCTTCAGGGCGGGAAAGTGCAAAATTTGGACCCAGCACAGATGCAGAGGAAGTGCCCAATCAGCATCTGACTCAGAGTCTGATTCGTGTAAGAAATGCTTCAAAAGATGATCCGAGAAGGTGACAGGCAGGCACCTGTGGCAGTTCCTGCAGGTTTCAGAAAGAGTCCAGATACTTTTGGTGGACCCAACTGTAGTCATAAGTACATGGCTGGGCAAAGGATGGTTAAAATAACTTCATTTCAACCCCAGAAAAATCTAGGCTTTCTGGTATCAATCGCACAATGAGAACCTAGTTCAAGTAGAAGCTGTGAGCGAGGTGGTGCATTTTAAACAGATTAGTCAATGCAATCAAATCTTTTGCTCTAGGTTTATCAGTGCAACTGAATTCACACTTCCGATGGCCACCAGGAGTGTCTGAGGGGGCTGGAATCCAGCAGCCTCAGGCATATTTTTGAGAACGGGATGCCACGGTGTCTTTTTGGTGCCTACAAAAACTCCAACAGCAGTGACCGTGACTGTAACCCCCCTCCAGGGGCCAACTGTCACAAATGGTGACAAAGCTACATTGTTGGCTCTCTGGAAGCTGTTCTTGTACTCTTTCAAAGGTCTCATGTTAGGGTTGCTGGCAGTATGAACCAGCCCTGAGAAGCAGAGTAGATTCTGGACTTATGAGAAGACTTCTGCTGCACGGAACACAGAGACCTACTGGCACTCTCCATCCTATGCCAAATTTGATAAAGAATAAAGCTATGAAAGATAATTTCTCCCCTCCTGTCCAGTCCTAAAATGGAACTATTATGCCTTCTCTTCTAGCAATGAAAACTGCACGCAACGTAAAGGTTACTGCATATTGACTGGGATTGCAATACTGGTGGGCCTTGAACTTGTTTATTACTGCAGCGGTGTAATTCTATACCTTATGGTTCTAAATTTAGCAAAAAGAAATCTAAAATCAGCTGCTCCTTCTAGGGTTTTTGGTAGTTTCATTTGATTACTAAGAGAAATTACTACCTTCCTTCAAGAACTTCAAAAAAGCACATATGTCAAGGTTTTACAATAAATGAATCTGAATTTAATCGACAGGTGAAAAGCCAAACCATTTTTTAAAAAAATCTTTAATCAGTTGTCATCCTTACTTATGAGTTTGTGATTTACCAAGAATAAGCCAGGATGAAAAATTAAACAAGCTATTCCCCCCCTAAAACCCCCCACCAAGAATAGCATAAATATTTCAAGAGATGCTGGTTCAAATAATTTGACATAAAAGAAAAACCATACACAGAGCTTTTCAATTCAATTAGATCTTTGTAGGTGTCAGGAAAATGGTTCTTCTTGAACGAACACTGATTCATGTTTCTGTTTATACTTGTAGATTGTTTCTCTATCAACCAGACACCAGTTTTCGTTGTACCACATAAATTTTGTTTGCATTTATATTCAAGGTACCAAAGTGTTATTAGCTTTGGAAATAACAAATACGGAGGGAAAAAGCATTGGCAGGAATTAGAGTGGTATAAAATCCAAGAGCCTACAACAAGCACTATCTAGAACAAGCAATGACTCACGTTTTTCAGAAAAATCCTTTTGCATGTTTATTGCTGTGAGAAAGGGCCTTGATTGTTTGTTTGTTTTTTAAAACCAACATATGCACAATGTCGGGAAATGGCCAGGACGGCAGAGAATTTGCAAAATACACAGTGTACATTGCTCAAAAACTATCTTCTCTGAATACCCATTTGACTTACCCCTTTGGATCTCGCACTCAACTCAACTGGATTCATTATTATACTTCCCAGCTTGCCTTTATCCCTTCCTTCCCACTCCCTCCCTCTAGAATGTAGGCTCCTTGGGACTAGGACCCATTTTTCACTTTGGTTATTCTGTAAAGCGCCGAATACCCCAACAGTACTACATTATTTTTATTACCATTATTAAAGATGTACTTCTACTCTGCTGAGGATTAGATGATTTCAGGCACTGCAATAGAATTCTATGCCCTGAGACAAATTTATCCCAGGTAAAGTAAGCACATCTCTCAAATGAGTAGTTAGCTGGTTTCCTATTATTTGAACACAATTAAATATTTTAAAATATTCCTTTTCCCCCAGAAGTTATCAAATATTTCCTGAAGCTAAGAATGCTGCTGCAAAGGTGGCAAAACCTTTATTATTTCATTATGGCATCATTTGTTAACAGGACCGGGAATGAGTCCTGCTAGACGGGGCACTACAGCAGAGCGGAGTTGCTCTTATTTGTCATCTAACAAAGGTATGTAAGCCAGGAAGATTGAAAGTGAATGCCACTTAACATAGATTTTTGCTTGTTTAAGAGTTGCTGTTGCTTAACTTCTGTTTCAGTATCATTTTTTTTTTGTAACATGGAGTTCAGGATAAAAACCAAACACAAGTTCCATTAATTGCTTGCATTTATTGAAACATCACCTGGTAAGTTATATAGCTTACTGCAAACATTTTAAAGTCAATTTCATTGTTTCACAAATAACAGTTAACTAACTTGTTTTTCTGATTAACCTAAGGGCAGATCTGTTGATGATAAAAGCGTATGCCTCGTGCTTCATTAGGGTTGCCAGCCCCCAGGTCCAGGCGGGGGTTCCCCACTTCTGGGAGCTTCAATCCACCCCTGGCCAGCTGGCCGACAGGGAAGCCTCACCCCCAAGAGTGACTACCCACCTGGCCAATCCTCTCCCTCCCTCCCCTCTTGCCAGATTTAAAGGGCTTCAGCTGATCGGTGGGGACAACGTGGCCTGCTGACCAGCTGGAGGGCCCTTTAAATCTAGCAGTAGGGAGGGTCACCCATGACCTCTACCTCCCTCCTGCTAGATTTAAAGAGCCACATGGTCCCCTCCCACACCCAGAATGCCCCCCAACCCCCCCCCACCGGAGCGGCGAGGGGACCTGGCAACCCTATGCTTCATGGCTGAGCCCTAGGGATTAAAAATTTTATGTTAAGCCTGCCATGCCCAGCATAGGAAGAAAGATGTCACTCTCAGAACTGCTAGGTGATTACTTTCCAAAATGAGACTATAGTTCTTCCTACCCTCCACCCCCCAGGCCTAAATCCAGAAGTTATCATGATACCACCTCATTCTTTATATATGGGTGGCCAGGGGTTCATAGATGTTCTCAAGTAGCCTGATCAGCTAATTCAAATTTCTGTGTATTTTGATTTCTTCATCCAGCAAGACATCTTCTCATTTTATATTTTATGCCAAAACACATGTTTTTCAGTAACACTTAACCAAGTGGAGCCGCCGCCACCACTACCACCACCGCGTAACTGCGGAGCAGGACCGCCGGCCAGGTTGGGCCGATGGAGTAACTGGAACATCGCATCCCATGGCGTCCCCCCCCCCTTTGATCTTCTGACCTCCTCCTGATAAGCAATGGGGAGTGCGTAATTTCAGTCTTTCATGTATCCTGTTAGTTGTGAATTTTTAGCTTCAGTTGTTTTAATCTGTTTGTTTTTATTGCACTTTGTGCCTTGTAAACCGCCCTGAGCCTGCGTGCGGGGAGGGCGGGATATAAATGGAATGAAATAAATAAATAATAATAAAGCAACAAAGAAGAAGAGAAGAAACCCCCTTCCCTGCCCTTGAGTTCTTAAATATAACCCGAGAAATGCTGGTAGGTCAAAGATTAAGGAGGATTATTAACATAATCCAATATTCAAACCTTGATACTCCATCATTAATCACCTTGAGATCTGCCTATTCGGATTTTGTACTTTACTTAAATAATTATTTCTATTAATTGTCATTACTGGGTTTTTTTAATCTTTTGGTTTGCAAACTAGTCATTATTTATGACCGCCATGGAACCCTCCAGGTAGTTTCTCTCCTTTGCATTGGACTTGTGTGGGAATCACCAGGACAGGAAGAGGATCTTTGTACATAAGGCAGAGGTGCCTGTCGCCGGCAAGCAGGCAGCTAGACTTAATGAACCCTGAAAATGATCCCTATATCCAGTTTCCCAATTAAACGTGAGATAATATTATATTGCCAAGCATGTGGCCAGTCAATAATGGGCAAGAGCTTACTAGCAAGAAAAACATCATATGAAGCACCATAACAACAGTTTCTGAGCTCAACAGGTAAAAGTGGGTATAGTCTGCTATGCAAAGCTGTTTTTTTGCCAATTAAGGTTGTTCTAGACACCTCCTGCTTGAGAACATAATGCAGGAATAGCAAAACCACAAGACAAATGCTCACCCATGCAGTCTAATAGCAAGACGGCCAGTGGGTGTTCAATACAATACACTCTTTCGTAAACACTTATTAAGAGATTCATCTGCCCAGCCAGCAAGCTCACTACACAACATCATAGCATTTAATTTTAAGGTAAAAGATAAGGTGCATTAGTCATCACTTACAAGGACCACAAAGAATATGGCTTGTTAAAAATAACCATTTATCAATATTTGTGCATCTAGAACATCATTTCACTACATAACTACACCGCCACCAGTAGTGCCTTTTTTGTCTGAACAAAGAGATGACGCAAGGCAGCAAGGTACAGAGCTGTCAGCAAACGGAGGAGCTGTGAACATTAAGGAGGCAATGAAGAAATCCATCATCACTCCCTGTATGATTGCAATCAAAGAAGTCGTCAGGAGAGACAAGGGCGAACTCACATCACACCGGTGACAAAGCTCATTCCACAAGATGGCACAAGGCAAAGGTTTGAGTACGATCACAAACGCACCACGCCACAGATGAGCAATTTGTCCTCAGCCAAAGGCTTCATTGAAAATGCAGGCTGAAATTCAGCCAATTAATGTAGAACAGCTTGTCATGAATAATGCCAGGCAACAACCTGAGGACCCCACTGCACTTCTTCTATCATATTTTCTTTTATTCTGAAGCTGTATCCCCTCAAATTTATTCAATGGTCTTCAAAAACCATTAATAGATTGGGGGGGGGGGGTTCCTGCAAAAAATGGAAACCTCCCGGGACTCAATGTTTTCAGAGTCTGGAAGCTTCAGTTCAGGAGCAAACAATGTGTGTCTTCTGGATCAGAAGCTGAAAAGGAGTAGGCAGATCCATGGAAAATGACAACATCACACTGTTGCTTCTGCCATCGTTTTCCGTGGGGACAAAGCCATCAAAGCATGTACCAGGGCGTCTCACTTGAGAGGTAAAGGCTGGAATCTAACCCAGAAAGGGAAGAGCAAAAAGTCCAAAAGTACCTGCACTTACCTTAGCTTGAACTGCATAGGAGGCAAGGAGAACAGATGCCTCAGGTGGACAATAGATCTTCTCATCTAAGATCTGCTTCTTTACCTGAACAAAACAATCAAGCAGAGAAAACACTGCTAAGCATGGCAGCCCCAGCAGACATCCAGAACTGGTTCATAACAGACATCCACAGAGGCCTGCCTGTTAATTTTCAATTACAATTCTTACATTTGCAGACTTCAGGGCCCAGGATTCCGTCATCACCCATAAAAGTAGATTACAAGGAGAGCAAGCAAATGCTACTTGCAAAGTCAAAAATAAAAATCCTTATCCAATAAGCACAACAAAAAATATTCCTGAAGGGTGCCAAGAGAACCGTCAATTCAGATTTACTGGCTCCTGTGCCTTTTTAAAAAATCAAGTTGTAACATCCTGCATTTAATACTGAAGTCCCCAAATTTCACTTCAGCTCCATCTTAGACAGCTGTACTCAGTCATTCCCGATTAAGAGTTTGAGCCCTGATCACATTTTTTAGACTATCTCAAGACTAGTTAGAACTATCCCTGCACCTGCAATGAAAATAGTTTGGGCTGCCAGCTGCTCCCTTTTTTGGAATAACTCTGGTATCTAAAGGCTCAAGGACAAGCTAAGTAAGACCTAGGCTAAGCAGACAACCCTCATCTTTCTGCAGGTATGTGAATGGGTTCTTCAGTCTTTTTTGTTTGTTTCAAATTTTTTATTATTGAGGGGGAAAAGAAGACAAATAGTTAACAAAACATAACCGATATACACCATACAGATTACAAAAGGAAAAAAAAGGGGAAAAACCATATATAAGTATAATAACATTAAAAGAAAAGAGGCTTTTGATTTTCTCTATGACAAATGTAGGCTTGATTACTTAATTTTCTCTATACATACAGTAAAGAGCTCTCTTTTCTGTATTATCGACGTTTCTTATTCCAAAAAACCCACAAATCATTATTTTGTGCAAAAATCAATAAGGGGTTTTCCAATCATTAATGAACAAACTGTCTTTTCCTTAATCAATGCTGTAAATTTGGCCACTGTTGCGAGTTCCAACATCTTCTCCAACCATTCTTCTATTGTAGGCATTGTCGGACTCTTCCATTTTTGCGTATATAGTGGTCTCGCTGCCGTAGTCATATATAAAACCAAAGCCTGGGCTCTTCAGTCCTGCGGCTTGCATCCCGTGACCCTTGTACCGGTGGAACCAGCACCAACCTGCAATGTCCTGATGACTTCTCACCTGCCGTAAGACTGCATCTGCAGCCTGTCGTGTTGTATATTTTTGATCAAAGTGTTCTTTTTTATGTGCATTTCATTTTGTAGGCCACTTTGAGTCCTCAGTGTGGGAGAAAAGTGGGGTAAAACACTTAAATAAGACCACTGCAAAGACTTTTGAGAGTGCATACCTGTAAATCTTCTGGATTATCTCCTGGACTATTTTTTCATGCACTAGTAAATGAGGTATGTTCATTTTTGGCCTTGGCCGTCACCAGAAACACTCCCTCTTCCAAATCCATGCCCGAAAAAGCAAAGGAACCCCTGCAGCTCCACACTGCACCCTCGGGGCAGCTTGACCTGCTCTGTGCTGGAATGCTGGCTTCTGTTGATGAGGTAAACTTTTGCTCCACTTTGAGAGTTAAGTATAAAAGTGTCCCATCTTCAGACCGTCCTTGTAATCAGCATGGGTTGGGTATGGATCAGGTTAATACATACGTTGGATCCCAGATATTGAGGGAGAGACGTAGGATTGGATTCTGTGACTCCCTTCCACTAAGTTGGATCCTATGATTCTCTTCTGCTAAGTTTTCCTTCAATGGCGAAAGAGTTCTTCAAGTGGAACACAGCCTCTGCTTGGCCTGCAGAAGGTCCCAGGTTCAATTTCTGGCATCTCCAGTTAGAAAGAACCAGGCAGTAGGCGATATGAAGGACTTCCTCCTGAGACCCTGGAGAGCTGCTTCACATGTGAATGATGTTTTTTCTGATGAGATAAAGTCTTTCTCTATTGGTGGAAAGGATGTGTAGGATCCAATCCATGGCCTTTATAGACTCTTCTGGCAATCAGGTTCTTCTGGCTACATAGGCACCAAGGTTCACATAATGAAACCTTCAAAGTCACCTGACGTGTTCAGCAAATCCAACAGCAGTTTCCTTGATAGGACTGAAAATTATAAACGTCTTTACTACCTCAAATGCATTTCTCCTGCTAGTTTACTTTCCACAGGGCTCGCCAAGCCCCCAGACTCCCCTACAAAGCCACTTACCTGAAGGAAGAATAAGTGCTGAGTGATCTCCTGTACAAGCTCCTCTTCAGCATTCTCTGGATAAAATTTGGCTAGGAAGTGAAAAGTGACGGGCTCCTCCTTTGGAACATCATGGTCCAGAACCTGCAGGATTAGAGCTCTATTTAACCTTTCTGAAACCATACAAGTTTCCTCTCTTATAGTTTAGATACTGCTCTTCTCCGTGACCGACCACAGTCATGCAAAGGCAACAGAACACCATTCTGCCTGGTATGCCACGCTACCTGGTATGCTGTGCCCTGTGCCTGCAGCCACGGACTGAGTATCTTTCTGCCCTGCTGTATCTGAGTTTGGCTCTTCTAACACTCTTGAATACACACAGCTCTTGCTCAGAAGTCTTTGGGGCCAATCAGACATGATGACGGCACTCCCTGTATTTTAGAAGGTGGGCTGTACCACCAGCTGTACCCCTAGCTGTAAAGTAGGATGTGATTTAAAGTAGAGAACAGGAGTGCTGAACCTAAACCAGCAAGGAGAAAGACAGCAGAAGAGGAACTGTGAGGGCACAAGGGGGTGGGGAGGGTTCAGCTCCTCTGTCCTTCCTGCCGCCCTCGGACTAGGGCTGCCAAGCCGCGGCAGGGGATCCGTGCATCTTCACAGGATCCCTGCCGCGGGAGACAGCGATACACGTTGCACCGCCGCCGCCAGGATGTGACACTATGCGTCGCTCTGTCAATGGGACTCCAAACAGCCCCGTTGCCAGAGCGACGCGTAGCGTCACATCCTGGCGACAGCGGTGCAATGCGTATCGCTGTCCCCCGTAGCAGGGATCCTGTGAAGACGCACGGATCCCCCGCCGCGGCTTGGCAGCCCTACCTCGGACACTTCCAATGGTCCCTGCAGCCACGCTACAGATCTGTGTTCTAACACACAGGACTGCCCCAGTGACATCTAGTTAGCCCTTAGGCTGAACAACAGACCAATGTTATCTGGAAACTATTCAGCTGTGAAGATCACTGAATGGAAGCCAAGATTTGGAAGTACTTTTTTTTCTTTTTAGACCTGATTTGGTTCTCTTCAAGAAATATTTCAAAACCCAGCAGATGTTAGATTTGCTAGTCTGCTCTGTCAGTGCAAGTACAGGCTTGGTTTCCATTCTGTGTGCCTTCTACTGATTTCTGAAAATTTTGTGCAGTATTTTTTTCTTTTTTACTATCTCTCTAAGAAAAGGGTTAATAGTCTGGAAGTTCATCGCATTAGAAACCATTTTAGACAATATTTAAAGTGCCTCACTTTCACCTCAGAGTCTTGTTCGTCATGCTTACAGTTTCAGATATGGAAGTCCCACTAAGTTAGAAAACAGCAGCGTAGACTAGAGCCCTGGGTTACCAATACACCACGTGCAGTGCTTAGCAACACACGGCTGACTTCAGGGGATTTTGGAACAGGCACCTGGAAGTCTCAATGAGCAATGCAAACACGTCATGCAAAACGAGAATGAACTCTCTAATACAGTAATAGATGCTCGGCACCAAGACGACGTCAGACTACAACTGCTCAGAACTGGATAAATCCTTGCAAATTCTACAATTAACCAGGGTGGCGTGCAACCTGGATATGCCAAGTAAGCCTGGGTATTTAAGCAGTCTACTTTGCAAAAGAGCAAGATCTGAGTCGAATAGCACCTTAAAGACCAACCAGATTTCCAGGGTATATGCTTTTAAGAGTCAACACTTACACCCTGGAAATCTTGTTTTTCTTTAAGGTGCTGTTAGACTCCACTCTTGCTCTTTTACTGCAGATCAACATGGACACCCGGTTGAAATCACTTTGGAAAAGTTACACTTTAGCTACAAGCAACTAACAGCCACCTTTTTGGCCAATTATTACAAATTTGCTAAAAAAAAACAGTCCTAAGCAGTTTTACTAAACATTCTAGTGAATTTAGGATTTACTTCTAAATAAAATGCATATAACTTGGCTGCATGGGTACTGGAGAAACTGCATCATAGATAAAAGTTAACAGCTAATTCTTTCGTAGCTCTTTATATTTGGAAAAGTATGATAAAACATTTAAAATTGTGACAGTGGCCCTGACCTGGCTAGCCCAGGCAAGCCCAGTCTTGTCAGATCTCAGAAACTAAGCAGGGCCGGCCCTGGCAAGTATTTGGATGGGAGACCTCCAGAGAATACCAGGGCCGGGAGGCAGAGGCAGGCTATCAAGACACTTCCCTGAACATCCTCCATGCCCCAGTAGGAGTCGCCAGAGGTCGCCATGACTTCCAGGCTTGGACACACACACACACACAAAGGCAAAATAAAATTCTAACAGTGCAAGCCTAGGTAGAGTTACACCCCTCAAGGTCCACTGAAGTCAGGGGTATAACTCTGCTTAGGACTGCAATGAAAATCATACAGCTAATAATTACCTAAAATAATTCAGTCTACTTCTTGTAACTTGATTAACTGGAAATTCAGGTTACACCAAGTTTAAGAATGCACAAATGTTAACATTTGAAGTGAGAGCACTGCTCCAGTATCAGTATTAATGGAATGGAAATTTAATTGTATCATAAAGGATTTGAAAACAGCGAAAATCAGTGACCACCCTTTATTCAAAGGAGGGGAAAGGGAGGGGGAAAAGGTCATTTGTGATGCACTGTTTTAAACATAAATAGCAAGACAGGCTGCCATTTCACAGCAGCTGCTTGGATTTATTCAGGTACTGCAGCACATGAGAAGACGTACCTTTATTATATGCAAAAATAACATTTTAAGATTCTAAACTCATACCAACAGCCACACAGAATGACCCAAATAAGTGTATCAGTCTTGGCTTAGGCAGCTTGAACTCCAGTGCCAGTATGTTTTGTTTCTGATGAAGGTACAGTGTCATGAGACAATTTATATGAACTAAATATTCAAAACCTGAAGAGATGTATAAAGCAACCCTACCAATAAATCTAAGTAATGTGTACAAAGCAGAAACTGGAATATTCAAATTAGGGAAAGCTTAAGTAGAGCAGGGAGTGAAAGACTAAACCCACCAAAATGAAAAAAATTAGAACACTGGGTCCTAAAGATGCAGCACTAGTCATTACACTGTTAATTACATTAACACTAGAACAGTACTAATGCTGCAGAACAGCCTTTTATGATTAGTCCAGGGTTTTAGAGCCCAGTAAGAATATGGTCCTGCAAAACTGATGTAGTTCGAAGATTAAGGGGTTTCACTTGAATCCTACATCCTCTCCAAAGGTGATCCTGGATCTGCCAAACAATGCATTTCAAAGATTTATTTATTTTGCAGATTCAGATACTCTGTTAGATCCTGCTCTTTCAGGAAATGCTCAGCCCAGCTTGCTTGTGGCTCTCTGAAAACTCCTATTTAGGCACTGAGCAGCTTTGCATCACTTAACTTTACAATGATACATTACTGGGTGTTCTCAGATCACCTGCTGGACCATTGGTAGTCATTCGTGACCTCCCTCTGCTTACACACATTTCCTGAAGGGAAAGATACATTCCTACCTTCTTGTCCATTTTGAGCCAGGCCATAGTGTCCTTGATCATGTACTGCAGACCGAAGAACCAAGTCTCACGGAGGCCTAACGTCCTACATACCAGATCAAATAAGTCTTTTCCTTTCCATTTCACCTGCAATACAGAAACAGAAGTACATCAACTTGCAACATCCAGTTCTCAAATCTAGGTATTTTCATGTTTGTACATGGCTTTGCTATTCAGTCAGAAAAAGTAAAAACAAAGTAAGTGTGAAAGCGGATTGGTAAAAAACTAGCTTGCACTATGAATGTTTGGATGATATCATCTCAAGGAACTCCAGGATGTTTCATACTATTTCCTTGAATTATTTTCACATGCAATCATTAATACCATTGGGCTAAAACAAAGAAAGAACAGGCGGAATAAGAATCTGAAGAATTGGAATTCATTAACAAATCCGGCCCCTTTTAGTCAAGAATCACCAGTGGTGGTCCCATTCAAAAAAGGTAAGTGCCTCCTAGTCTGTATTATAGCAACCATCCTTAGATGCACCAACAAATTTAGATGAGACACCTCAGCATTTTCATACTATGCTCCAGCTGTGAGGATGTACTTTTTGCATTTTTGTTTGCTTTCCTTATGTTTTCCCTCCATGGAAAAGCTGGCCATTGCTCAAGAAAGAAAGGAGGCACCACATAGGTGTTCTCAGGGCAAAGGACAGCAAGGGAGAACAGCAGAGTCATTTATGGGGGGAAAGTGCTAACAGAGATATTGAGAAGGCAAGGGCAACATGACCAGTATGCTCAGAGGTCATTTCGGGGGGGGGGGAACGCGGGGGAACGCAGTTCCCCCGGGTGAGGTGCAGGGGGCGGGGCACATGACGAAGCCCCGCCCCCTGCTTCCGGCCACCCCGCTTCCAGCCCTCATTCAGCCAGGAGGAGGCAGGAGAAGAGGGAGGGTAAGTTGCTTCCTCCCCACCTCTCTCCACCCCTGCCTGCCTGGGGCCAGGGAGGGCCTTGGCGGGGCTTCCTCACACTCCCGCTGGCCTTGCAGGTCGACCGCCGGGCCCCTGATGTCAGGGGGTGTGGCATATGCTAATGAGTTATGCTAATGAGTTCCCCTAGCTCTTTTTCTACGAAATGACCCCTGAGTATGCTACTCTGAGGACAAAGAGTCACACAAACAGGTAACATTCCCCTACAGTGTATATACTGGAGGATGGCTTTCATGTACATTTCTTTGAACACTGTGTTTATGGGGGGAGGATATTTATACAGGAGAAGTGAACCATGCTGGCTCATCTAAAACAAGCTCATTACTTGCTATGTAATTTTTGAAATGCAACATTTGCTCTGCCAAGTTCATGTCATTCTCCATTAAAAACCTTTCCACAAACATCCAGGTAACCAGATATACTTGCACCCCAAATACTCACAGAACATTTCTTCCCATTTAAAAAGAAAGGTACTAGCCTCCTTCAGAAATTATTAAACCAGCGAAAAGCTACATAAGACTAACTTCACCTCCTTTGCTCCATGTTAGATTGGCGGGTGACACTGAAGTCGCCTTGGTAAAAATACCCTTTGATTGCAGCATTTATTTCAATTAAGTATACAACATAGATGCTCGATACATACAAGCAGCCCAACTAGGTGGCTCTGTTATCAGCCTTAATTTTAGCTGCTTCCACACTGAAGTTCGGTCCAATTTCGTTTCTAAACTGGAGTGAGTTTTTTTGGAGCCACCACATGACGCCCTCTAATCATTCTACCCCACTTTGCTGTGATTTGGGAAAGATAGGTTAAAGAACCTTTGCATTCTCTATGGATGGAAAGGTGTGCATTTTTTGCAGGTCCCATCCACATCTGTACCATTTTCCTTGCCTTGGCATCCGTTATTGGCCATTTCTACCCCTCTTGCCCACCAGAAGACTTTGGGGGGGGGGGGTTTAAAAGCATACTTGACATACTGATACAGCATCGAGCTAAAGCAATACGCCAATTACCAATTTCAAATTATAGGGATATATTCATTATCAAACTTAATTGACCTATCACTATGGCTTAAAATTGGAAACTGACATATCTCTGTAGGGGGAATGGCAGGTCTGGTGGCCAGGAAAGCACCGGGACAACTACTGTGTGGACATTCCATTGCAACAAAAAGAACATGGAAAATCATTGACTCATGGATGCAACTCTTATTAAAACAAGGCTTTGCTTTAAAAAAACAATCTGAAGTAAGAAGGTAACAGCAACGAGGAGACTCTCTAAAGCAAACTTCCAGATAGGTAGTCACATTAGTCTACTGCTGCAAAAAAGCAAAGAGCCCAACTGCACCCAAATACTATCAGATTATTTAATTATTAAAGCATCAACTCTCAGACTACAGCCCACTTCATCAGATGCAAAAGCAAACAACACTTGGACAGGCAACACTCAGGGACATATGGCCCTTCTTCTAAAGCCTGAAGGCAGAAAATCTCTCCTCCCAACCTGTCAGACTCTCTCATTTTTAGGATCACCTGCGCAACATCAGCATCAATATTAATGTTCACACATGGCAGAGACTGCTCTTCTTCAACACTATTCATTCTCCAGCTGTTATCCCACACTGCCCTCTTGTGGCTACTTCTTGTTTCAAGGAGTGGAGATTTCTGCTTCCACTAACTGCCAGGGCTCATAGACAAATACACAGACTCACAGTTATCCTGAGAAATTAGACCATGCAGTTCAAAGACAGGCATGTTTCGGATATCATGTGTCACCTGCTTTACAAGGCTAGAAATCCCATTATGCAATACTTTGCAGAACACCGTATGCAAAAGTCAGCTCCCTGCCCCAAGGAGTTTTCAGTATACATTAGATGGGGTGGGGTGGGGGGTTAGACAACAGAGTGGAGGGAGGATATGGCAAAGTCAACGCATCCCAGGTCTAGGTTGTAACTACTTGGACTCTCTAACAAGCAAGCAGTTCTGAAGCTCCACTATACCCACGCCAAGCCCTAGATATATTGTTGATGCCACACAAATATATTTTCAGCAAAATCAAGCAGTAAGCTGAACCACTGCGAGCCCTCACTGAAACGTGGGCTCTGGCACATCTCCCATTCATTTCAGTGAAGCCTACCTAGGGCAACATCCCAGTACCCTGTGCAGCAGACCTCTCAGGGCTACTGTTGCCAGCTCAGGTGTCTGCCCCAAAGCAGGACTTCCTTTGTTCACACAAGGGTACAATTCAGTTTGTAAGCATGCTGCTCCCTGCCTCTTTGTTCACAGCCTGGCACTCTTTAATCATCACATTCTACCACATTCTTCCTCCAAGGATGTAAGGGCTGTAGACACTGTTCTCTGTATGCAATCCTTACAACAACCCTGTGAGATGGGAGAGCCATGTATGACTGGCCCAAGGTCACTTGAAGAGTTTCACAGCAAGCAAGAATCTGAACCTGGGTCTCCCACACACAAGCTTAGGGAGAGAAGCATTTAAGATACTATTCCATTCCTCTCTGAGAGAAAACCTGGGTTAATATATTTAGCATGAGGTTATTTCTGACTGGGGCTAAATTGCATCACATGAAGCATCAGCAGTTTGGTCGTGGAGCTCTTCCCTCCCCTCCCCTGACATTCTTTACTGCAATTGTTTCAAAGGGTTAGTGAGAGAGTCCATGTGCAAAGAGACTCATCCACTCACTGAAGACACGGCAAAGGAGGCACTTGTAAATGCAGGCCGCTGCAGTCTGCCAACAAGAGACTTTCATCCACAGATGCAGATTTGTACCCAGTGGAATCAATGTTTTCACACTCCAGCTGTGTTTTAGACTACAAACGACACAGAGGCCCTCCCCAGCTGGAGTTCAAACCCGTCCACAGACTGCAAATGAAGTGCAGTGTTATATAAGTCAGTGCAAAACCTACGATAACATTCTCAAAACATTAAATATTGCATTAGCTCGTAAGATGGGGGGGGAGCAATCTGCTGTTGCATGGCAGGATGACTTCTAAGATTAGTTTAAGATACTGATTGTCAACATTTCATAGAGATGCATGTGTGTCCTCCCACAGCTGCAATTTAGCCCTATGCATATAAACTAGCACTCGCATGACTGTTTATGCTCTTAAGTTTTATGCCTTGACTCACAAGTACAGTAATATCGATTTAACTACTGTTGGGAGAGCCACAGACTCCAAGTTTGACTTGTGTGTGTCAATAGATTTGACTATGAAATCACATTAGTATTCTTTTTTTGAGATTTAACTAGCTTAACTAAAATCATTTCTAATTTCATTTGTGTTTATTCCAGCATATTATACAGCATTAAACACACTGGTGTAACTAAGAACACACTCAGATAACCTGTTTGCTTGCCTGTTTTACATGGTATGTCAACCAGCCGTATCTTTTCATACAATTTTAAATCCGGGTTTTGTGAAGGGCTCCAGTACTCCCCCAGACCACAAGGTCAGCACAATCCGGAAAATCTTTCCAAGAGAAGATAAGGCACTGTGCCAGAACATTCATTTACAAGACAGGTTCAATACATTGAAGTCAATGGAAAGAGTTAATAAGCACTGACTTTATAACGTGAAAACCAAACATAAACATGTGAACCAGACCCTAAATTCTTCTTTGAAATTCCTGCAAGGGGCAAAGGAAACAATTAGCACATATGAAAGAAGCGCTTAGTCCTGGCCTCAAAGCCCTGGTATATTCTGGCTATGGTTATTCTCCACACATGCTCAGAAGCAGTCAGTTGCCCAATCCAATTTGCAGGAACACACAGTCTTGATTACAGAAGAAGGAGGAGGAGGAGGAGGAGGAGGAGGAGATTGGATTTATACCCCGCCCTTCACTCGGAGTCTCAGAGCGGCTTACAAACTCCTTTCCCTTCCCTCCCCACAACAGACACCCTGTGAGGTGGGTGGGGCTGAGAGAACTCTGACACAAACTGCTCTTTTTCAAGGACAGCTGTGCCAGAGCTTGTGACTGACCCAAGATCACATCAGCAGGTGCAAGTGGAGGAGTGGAGAATCAAACCCGGTTCTCCCAGATTAGAGTCCGCGCACTTAACCACTACACCAAACTGGCTTTGGGAGCCAAGACCTCCCAGTATCCAACTTTCGCTTCTGAGGCCACAGCTACACTTTTGCAAGT